TTTTTTGTAGAGCGTTCAATTCTCTACAAAATTATGTTCTGACTCAACTAGTCCGATGACTTGTTAAAGAGTTACAAAATTCCAAAGTAAGAAAAAAAAATTTTCCCACGTTAATCAAATGGGAAATTGAAATTTTCGACTCGGCACCTCTTAATATTAATATTAAGAGCTCTAATTTTCACAGGATTTTTTTTTCGTCATGTCGAATAATATTTTCAATATTAATAAGAAAAAAAAAATTGTCGATTTTTTTGAATCAGTTTAATGTACATACATAGTCATTTCAGTCAAGCGAAATCATAAATAAATATTCTTACCGACTTAAAAATGGGTATGTACGATAGAGTTTCATCAAATACAAGCATGCAAGACCATTTAATTCCACGCTTAGTCATATATGCTCTTGCATGATGATTTTGGTCACTTAAAAAGTTATCATGCATAATTACGCTTGGTCAAGCAAGAATTGCATATAATCATATAAAGCAATGCTTAATCATGCCGACTCATGACTAATAATTATTCATAGTATATGCATGATTCATGAAAGATCATACCTGATGTATGCTTGGTCGAGCATAGTCATGCATGCTGATTTTTTTCTTGAGCATGCTTAAAAAATATTCGATAAAGTTTTTTAGGTTTCTTTCTGATCTGATATTATACACTTTAATTCGATTATGATATTATATTATAACAAAAAATATGATCCAAAAACTATTCCCTAGTAACATTGGTTTTGGACAAGATTCTTTACCAAGCCCTGGAAACAGAATCGGACAATTTTCGAGCCAGACAATTAACCAAGATTACTTATGAAAGATCGTATTTTATCATTTATGATTATTGAAAATTCATACACAATCATGTATAGCCACATAAAGTAAGGAATAATAAGTTAAATATGAGTCTGTATGATTAAGTGTAAGACTTTGTATGTTTATGTCTGATTTATGCAAAATCTTATTTACAAAAGAAAAAATGATGATGCATGACATGACTTTCTATGATTATACATTATTTAGACACAATGATCAAACATGATCCATGCGAAATCGAGGTGACTTCACATTCATTCAGCAACACACATTTCCACGTAATTTTATTTCATTAATTTTTACATTATTAAACTTTTGTAAAGACAAAATTTTATGAATGATTGCAGATAAAAGAAATAGCGAGTGCAGTTCATAAAGTTATTAATAAATCTCTTCACGTGAACAACGGATGGCTTATAGAAGTATTTTGATAATTGCATTATTTATAAATTATATTTGGATTTTATCGATAATATGCTTGTTTAAAAATATTGATTGGAAATAATTAAAAATGATAAAATTTGAATTCTTTTCAATAATTTCAATTTTTTTGTTTGTATAAATAAATATACAGGTTGCATATAGCGGCCGCTTTTCAATCAATATTTTTATTTATAATCAGGAATACAAAAATACTTGTTTCAGTTAGAAGAGTTTTCACGTCGACTGCATAGAATGGATGTTAAACTCACAGCATGCGATTTCTTCAGACTCGACCTTACACTGTTACATTCAGTAAGAGATTATAATTAAATTTTTTTATTGTTCTACATGTAAATAATCTAATTTATAAAAAAAACTTTTGTTTAATAATCATTCATGTGTTTCAGATTATCAGTATATTAGTCACTTACTTGGTAATACTTCTTCAAGTAAAAGATGAATAAAAACTATACCCTTTGATGACATGATTGCAATCATCGATGAAAAGAGAAACGTTAATTTATGATCGTTACTCTTTGATTTTATCGTTTCAATCAATTCAATGTATAATTTAATTTGGAATCAAATGCGAAAATCAGAGAGTAGTCTGGATAATCATGGCGATAATTTTAGCGTAAAGAGAATAATGTACCGATTGTAGATAATAATTAGTATTAAAAACAACCAAAAAAGTAAATTGAAGACAAAAATGATTTACTAATGTAATTTATTTGCGGATTAATAAAAATTTAACAGAGCAGCAATGGTATTAAATTTTTATTTAGTTTAAAATTTTCACAAATTTAAAACCACTTTTTTTATAGTTATCAGGTAATTTTGCAAATAGTGGAATAACTTTCAACGAATCATTTATCATGTACTCTTGTAACTCGGCACTGCTATGTATATCAGACACATAATCATGAATTCGGCCATATAACATAGGTAAAACAGTTGCTTTGTCTAAATTCGGGCTGACATAATTTCCACGTATAGAATATAGCGTATTGCGAGGTCTTGGAGCTATAAAATTAGACACATTGCCAACTTCAATGCATCGATTATTCGAATCAAAATATCTTGCACCAATTTGATGTTCCTGTACATTATGGCTTTCGTCTAGTACTTTCTTTCCTTGCTCATCCGATACCTCATTCGCTAAATTAACTTCTTCATCATTGAAAATTTCTTCTGCTTCAGTACTTTCAACACTGTTATCATCACAATACTTCAACAATTCATCGAATACAAGATTTATAGCTTCCATTTGATAACTCCATAAGTTAAAAAGCGGACACTTTGAAACATTACAAATAATTCTGGTATCGTTTTTCATGTATATATCATTTCGCAATAGGTAGAGTGGCTGAAAAATCGACAACAGAATGAATAACTGCTGCCCCAAAAGTGATATACTTTTACTCGCATTGACGTAGTTATTGAAACTCTCACGTAAATTATTAACATATGCCGAGCCACCAATTTCTACACGCTCTTGCAGTATATCCGTAAACATTTTGACATGATCCATTGATCCTTTGGCACCAGATTTAATAACATGCATCAGCATACCACATCCATTAATCATTTCTTTAAAAGTGATAAGAGGTAAACGAACTCTAATCCCAAAAATTCTGAGTTCTTCTAAGAACTCATCAACTTCATCTCGCCAAATAGTGCATCCAAGTTGCATAAGAACATTCGACTTCTTCGGAGTAGAACTATACTTCGACGACAAAATCTTCCATATCTTCGATTTGCTTTGAAAATACTTGTCATAAACTTGAAGCAGCAACAAATGATACTGACCAAGTGAGTAACGACTCCTATTGCAAATATTCCGACGTCGTCCGTATTTCCAAGAAAATTGCAACAGTTCCGTTATCGCTCGAAGCATAATCAAACTTGGAACTTCATTTTCTCGCTTCAAATAATAAACGTTCAAGTCATCACCATCTTGGTCAGCGTGCAACCCCTCCAGTACAAATGGATTCACATGGATGGTATTGTCATTCTCATTCTCATAACCCAACAGTTCGCAAGAATAGATAGCACAGTCGTTGATAGATGGATCTCGATTGATGATAACGTATGGTGAAGCCAAGTCCAACGAATCCATCATATGTTGAGGAATGCTGACGTCATTAGGACCAAGACTATTGTCGATCGTTAGTGTCATTCGAATACCTGAGGCATTTACACCTAGAATTCGTGTTCGCATATAACTCAATTTCCCAGATTTTTGTTGCATCAAAGATCCACCTTTGAATTTGTCATTGATAAATTGATAGTATTTCAAATGCTCCATGTCAATAATATGCTTAGGTATTCGGAAGATTGGAGCTTGGCGATAGATCAAGCGTTGTGGATATTGCAAGTTATGGGGGACAGCTATGTTATTTATCTCGTTATTGTGCACCTTATGAATAAACCAAATTATTGATTGAAAGTAGGAGTGGTTTTTTTTGGTATACAAACTTGGTTGCGGCATGCAATAAAATCTTTTTGGTGTTTCCAGTATAAACGTGCGAGGATATTGCAAAAACGGTGTGCAGTATATACACTGTCGACTTGATGATATGTAACATATTATGCATAGATAAAAACTACCGTTTTTACTTTCTTGAAATATTTCTACAAATTTTTCATAGCTGATTGTTAATGTGTTGTGTGTGTTAACTGCATTTACTTTGTATTTTATAGTATAAAAATGTGGATCAACTATTGATGTAAATTCGCTTTCTGAACATAAATCACCCATATTATTTTAGTAACGTTACTAAATTGTAAGAAAAAAAAGTTTGGAGAGTGAAACATATATTTCACTAATCACTCTGTGTTAAATTAATTTGTCTTCGTATCAACAGTGTAGAAGTAAAATACATCCGTGAACGTCATAAGAATATATCAGCCAACATTTTGTCGCTAGACATATAAAGTTATTAGATAAGACAAATAAATCAATGTCATAAAAAATACATTCAAATGGTGATAAAACTTTCGGTGCGTGCATAGATAACGTTAATATTATAAGTATTAATCATGCAAATATTGTATTAGACATGAAAATCTAGTTGGTTTATTTGATGAGCTTTCTAAGCTAAAAATTCTGCAAATCGGTTGACCCTGAAAACCATCCCTTAAATCTCCCACTTATTTTCGAGTGCAGAGCTCGAAAATATATTTGATAATTTGATTTGAATTTTTGAGTTTGAAGAGCTGAGATTTGTTGACGAAGATATCGTTGACAAAAAATTAAAAAAAAGGAAATTTTTTTTGTTTTTTTTTTTTTTGGCATTGTTATGTACACTGTATGGCATAACTTATTTTTTATTAGAGTATTCGACCCTAGTTTTTTCACTAAAAGACCAGGAACTCCTGAGTTTAATTTATTTGAGGATGATAGGTGTTTTTGTTAAATGATGTAAACTGTTAAAATTAATACTGTAAAAAAAAAAAAAGTACAATTATTCAAATAAAGTAAATATGTAAAAAAAATTATTTGTTTAGTTCTACATCAAACATGTATTAACCAGATATCAGAAAAAATAGCGAATATCTTTGTAGGTCCCTCTTTTCAGACAATGCTACACTGATAGAAAATTTATGTTGACTCAAGAGATATTTTTTTGATCTAAGAATTTATTTTGGAAGAAAATCTTGTCTTGATTTAGATTTTCTTGGCTTAAGAGCTATATTATCTTCAATCGATACATTTAAGTTTTTCAATCAAAATAACATTATCGTTTAAAAAACTTAAAGTAATTCATCAAAGTATATTTCAAAAACTAAATAGTCTTTAATTGTTATATCAAATAAAAATTATTTCTTGAAATAAAGTAAATTAATTAATGACTCAAAAAAAAGCCATTCTTAACACAAGTCGGTAACATCTTGAATCAATTTTATTGCCTATCTTGAACCAAGAGACAAAAATTCTTGAAAGAAATATATCTACATCTAGTTTCAAGAGTTCAAGTTTTGAAAAAAAAAAGTTTCTTGAATCAAGATTGTTTTTCTATCAGTGTAAAGTTTGCTATTTATATCTTTTTTTTTTTTATTTTTGTATTTGTATTTATTGGAGTAAACTGGAAATGTTTAATATAAAAAATATTTTTCGATAGAACCATGTATTGAAGTTACGACAATTATTCTCTTAAAATTATAAAAATAGAGGAGAAAACCTAAGTAGCTGAAATTTATCACAAATTCTATTCTAAACAAAAGTGCGATAAAAGGACGAGAAAATTTAGCAATTGCCTGTATTTAATTGATTGAATAGCAACTTTATAATGTTTTAAATTTAAAAAATGTCTATATATCGACGAAAAATGTATTTAAAAAATATTACAGATAGTGGACAAAGAAGCACCGGGCTTTTAAAGACTCTAAGTTGATAAAGCTCGTTCAATACCGGTAGAAACAGGATTAATCTACCGTTACGATAAGGAGATAAGGAAAAAACGACGGAAGAAAATAAATGAGATGAAGCAAATCAAAGAAGCTGGAAACTATAAACGAATTGACTGACAATTCGGTTTTTTATTGTACTTTTTTTTTTTTGCAATTTTACTGCGGAGTTAAATAGTTTTTAGCATTGAATTCATCATTTATCACAAATACTCAAATTATCGAAGATAAATATTGAACCAAGAAAAAATTCTTGAGTCAAGAATTTTATCTATTGATTCAAGAAACACTATTTCTTCAAAATGGTGTTGTTGGTTCAAGATTTTTAGTAGATTTCATTGCATTTGTCCTCATGATGGAACCAAAAAAATTTTACTATTTCCTGACTCAGCTCGCCGAGCTCGTTCAGAAAATACATATAGTTCGAAAGTTTAAATATCTATGTATATTAGGGTGTCCGTTATTTCCCAAGTTGATTTTTTTTTCGCTGTCGCCCCCTGGATTTTTAGTTCTTGACCTAAAAAAAAATATCTTACACAAATAAGCTCTTATAATTACCAAATTAAACCGTGCCGAAATCGAGTTACATTTCCTATTTAAATAACATGGGAATTTGGAACTTTTTGTTATTAATTTTTTTTCTTCGAAAAAAATGTCACTACGACTATGATCAATGTATATTCTGATGGGAAATTGAATGCTTTACAAAAAAGTTCTCTTATAATTTTTCGATAAAATCATTCCTTTAGAAGTTATTTGAGGTTTAAGTTGTGTGTATAGTTATTTATCGTAGTTTTTCAGTCTTGCTATAAAGTTTCATGTGTTATAATCATTTATTTGCATAGCTCGCACCTCAGTCACTTACCTAGCTCACATCGGCTGCTTGAGCACTGAATACCTGGAACAGCTTGAAATTTGCCAGCTTTACTTTTATAAACGCCTACTATCATTACCTGCATGTACACCTGGGTATGCCATCCGTTACGAATTAAATCTTGATCACACAGCAGTATGGATCTTACGGGCAGCTATCGGATGGGTCATCAAAGTCTTGAGCATGCCTGCCAACCGACTACCCATTATATGCCTGTGCAAACTCGCCGATCTAAGTAACTCTTCGTCCTCTAAATTAAATTGGGTGTCAAAACTAAAAAATCTTCTCTCGCCAATAAAGGAAGACGACATGCTGAACAGATTGGAGGCCAAGCATTGGATAATCAGAAAAGAATCTATTTTGTTGAAATTCCGCGACTACATGCGAAAGTTAGATCGGGATCGTTACTTCAACTCCTCAGCATGCCAATTTACATTTTTAACGCCGATACCGGAAGCCAGACTCCAGAGAATACCACTTCATCTCCTGAAACCCTTAATGCAACTCAGACTGGCAAGCAAATATGCCTGTCACATCACCGTCGATGGTATTACCCTTACTCTCTCCCCCACAAAACCATGTCCACACTGCCAGCTACAAGTACCCGAAACGGCTTTACATTACATCTGTGACTGCCCACTGTTCACCGAAAATAGACTAAAATACCTCAAAGACTGGGTCATTCGTACATGCCCCCTAGAACTTTCATCATCAATCCTCGAGGACTCCAGTTATATCTCACTGAAAAAATTGGAGAGCTACTGCCGAGAATGTAACAAAATAAAATCTAATCCGTCTATCTAATTTCTCAAGAAAGTAACTCATATTTGAAGATTATGTACTTTTTGTATCTTTTTATTTATCAACTTGTTCTCGTGCCAATTGCCACGAGAATTCTGTATTCTCTTTACACGCAATAAATTTATATATATAATCATTTATTTCATTTATAAATGTTCCAAAAATTTTATTAAAATGATTAATAGTTACAGTAACGTTAACAATACGATGTATTGAATACATTTTTAAAAATATTGCCACTTTTTTGTATTTTTTCTGTTTCTATTCACATTTATTTGTTAAGCATTTTTTAGTCGCATTATGATAAGTATTTTTATTTTTATGAATAATTTGCACTAAATATTGTTTTTGTTCTTTTTTATGAGTTAACTTTTCTATCAGTGGTAGTTGAAAAAAAATACAAAAAAAAAACGCTTTTTATCTGGTTTTTCCATCAAATAACTTTTTAATGGCAAGAGTAAGCTCAATAATGTAAATTTTTAGTAAATTTTGATAAGATAAGTCTCTAAGTTACATTTTTTACTTTTCATTTTTCAATAATTTTTACCCTTTCAATCATAGTTTAAAGTTGACTGCGCAGAAATTCAAAGAATTTAGGGCCAGTTTTTCAACCCCGGGTTTAAGTATTATATCATTGTGAATATATCTATATATCTATAATATATAGATATATTCACAATGATAAAATACTTAAACCCGGGGTTGAAAAACTGGCCCTTAGTGTTAAGAAATCTACTTCTATAAGAGATACCGAATTTTTATTTTTAAATCATTGCAAAAAGTTATTTATCCTACGATTTTGTTAGCAATTGCAACACAATGCAAAATGTAACGTACCCGTAGATACCAGCTTTAACAAGTACCGTTTCAAGGAATCTTAAACACAAGTGTTCAGAGCTCCATACCCTGATTAAACAAAATGATTTGAAATGATTAAAAAAGATTAATTTTTTAATCATTTTTAATCATACCAAATCATGTAAATCATTTTAGAAATTTCACAATTAATCATTATAAATCATTTCAAATACTGAGAAATTGACAGAATATAGAATGATTAATAATGATTAAAATTTTTTAATCATGTCGAATCATTTCTAATCACAAAAATACTCCGTGGATTTCTGTCACCTCTTATGATTTGAAATGATTCAGTTAGGATTAAAAATTTTTAATCATATGGAATCATTTCTAATCATAAAATAATCGTTGAATTTATGACTTCTATAATGATTGAAAATGATTAAGTTATGATTGAAAATTTTTAATCATGTCGAATCGTTTTTAATCATAATAAACTTTTGAAATTATTATCTATGAAATGATTCAAAATGATTGCGTTAGGATTAGAAACTTTTAATCATATCAAATCATTCCTAATCATGAAATACTTTGAAAATTCCTGTCACCTGTTATGATTTAGAATGATTCAATTAGGATTAAAAATTTTTAATCATATGGAATCATTTCTAATCATAAAATAATCGTTGAATTTCTGACTTCTATAATAATTGAAAATGATTTAGTTATGATTGAAAATTTTTAATCATGTCGAATCGTTTTTAATCATAATAAACTTTTGAAATTATTATCTATGAAATGATTCAAAATGATTGCGTTAGGATTAGAAACTTTTAATCATATCAAATCATTCCTAATCATGAAATACTTTGAAA